ACCTCTGTCTTGTCTGGATTTAGTTTCAATCTGTTGTCCCTCATCCAGTCCGTCACAGCGGCCAAGCACCGGTTCAGGACTTGGACAGCCTCCTTAGTAGCAAGTGGAAAGGAGCAATCTAAGCACAGTGAGACAAAATTTCTACTTCTGATTAATTTTCAACTGTTCTACAGATATCTAGAACAGAATCATAAAATCATAGGATCATAGAGTTGGAAAAGACCTCATGGGCCATCCTGTCCAACCACCTGCCAAGAAGCAGGAATATTGCATTAAAAACACCCCCAACCAGGCCTGTAGCGAGGGGGGGGGGGTTTAGGGGTTCAACCCCCCCCCCCGAAATGTTTCAGATTTTTTTAAAAAACTGTTTTACTCATGAATTTTAACTGGTTAACCAAATCCCCATGCTAAGTCTATGAGATGCAAAATTTTAAGAGTCCCTCCAGAACTGCAAGCAGTATCTCAGGCAAATATTGACAATTTATTCACACTGTCATTACTTGCAGCAATAGCCGATATAGTGAAGCAACCAAGTTGGGGGGTGGTGTGTGTTGAATGTTCTCATTAAGGAGGCCAGACTTGGTGGAGGTGGTTGACAGGGGCGGAGCTGCAGGCTATGGAAGGCTGCTCTGCCCTCTGCTGTGTTCTTTGCTTCAGCGTGAGCTAGGAGGCAGGTTTTAGCCCCCCCCACGAAAATTTCAAACCACTCCCCCCCCCCTGAAAATTTCATCCCCTCCCGAAATTTTTTTCTGGCTATGGCCCTGTCCCCGACAGATGGCCATCCAGCCTCTGTTTAAAAGCTTCCAAAGAAGGAGCCTCCACCACACTCTGGGGCAGAGAGTTCCACTGCTGAACAGCTCTCACAGTCAGGAAGTTCTTCTTAATGTTCAGATAGAATCTCCTTTCTTGTAGTTTGAACCCATTGTTCCATGTCCTAGTCTCCAGGGAAACAGAAAACAAGCTTGCTCCCTCCTCCCTGTGGCTTCCTCTCACATATTTATACATGGCTATCATATCTCCTCTCAGCCTTCTCTTCTTTAGGCTAAACATGCCCAGCTCTCTAAGCCGCTCCTCATAGGGCTTGTTCTCCAGACCCTTGATCATTTTAGTCGCCCTCCTCTGGACACATTCCAGCTTGTCAATATCTCTCTTCAATTTATTAACCCACACGTTCCCTTCGTTCATCTGGAGAGGCCCTGCTCGCGATCCCGCCTGCGTCGCAGGTGCGTTTGGCGGGGACGAGGGACAGGGCCTTTTATGTGGTTGCCCCTCGACTTTGGAACACCCTCCCCAAAGACATCAGACTAGCCCCCACGTTGGCAGTCTTTAGGAAGAGCTTGAAGACCTGGCTATTCCGATGTGCCTTTCCGGAATAGGAAAACTCCAGCATTATGTCCCAGAAGCACTTTATTAGAGTTTAAGATTCTTTGCACATTGCACTTGCCCTGAAATCCAACATACCACCTGTCACATCCAGCACTTTTTAATCTGTACCCATTACTTGGCCCGGCCCTGTGTTATGGTGTAATGTTTTGTTGTTATTGCTTTATGTTTTTGATTTGCTTTGAGTTGTATTTGTTATGCTGTTGTTGTGTTGAGGCCTTGGCCTTTGTAAGCCGCATCGAGTCCTTCGGGAGATGCTAGCGGGGTACAAATAAAGTTTAATAATAATAATAATAATAATAATAATAATAATAATAATTTGTGGTGCCCAGAATTGGACACAGTATTCTAGGTGTGGTCTAACCAAGGCAGAATAGAGCATGGGGAGCATGACTTCCCTGAATCTAGACACTATGCTCCTATTGATGCAGGCCAAAATCCCATTGGCTTTTAAGCTGCCGCATCACATTGTTGGCTCATGTTTAACTTATTGTCCATGAGGACTTCAAGATCTTTTTCACACGTACTGCTCCCGAGCCATGCGTCCTTCATTCTGTATCTTTGCATTTCATTTTTTTTTTTGCCTAAGTGGAGTATCTTGCATTTGTCACTGTTGAACTTAATTCTGTTAGTTTTGGCCCATCTCTCTAATCTGTCAGGATCATTTTGAATCCTGCTCCTGTCCTCTGGAGTACTGGCAATCCCTCCTAATTTGGTGTCGTCTGCAAACTTGATGATCCTGCCTTCTAACCCTTCATCTAAGTCATTAATAAAGATGTTGAACAGGACCGGGCCCAGGACGGAACCCTGCGGCACTCCACTTGTCACTTCTTTCCAGGATGAAGAGGAAGAATTGGGGAGAATCACCCTCTGGGTTCGTCCATTTAACCAATTACAGATCCACCTCACCGTAGTTTTGCCTAGCCCACATTGGACTAGTTTCCTTGCCTGAAGGTAATGGGAGACCTTGTCGAAGGCCTTACTGAAATCCAGGTATGCCAGAGTATTGCTATATGTCGGTAACATATGTCAGAAATATTAAAAATTAACTAGGTATTTTTAATTACAAAAATGTGAGTCAAGTACTGAAATGGTTATATGTATGCAATGACTCAGCAAAAGCTACAGTTCTATATATGCAAGTGTGCCTGTAACTTAGTAGGCCTCTGTGTTAGTTTGCCTCAGTGGGAGAAAAGTGTTGGAGTTCAGCCTGCGATTGTGTTTCAGGATCAGAGTGCTTTGGATGTGGGAAGTGATGCTAATGAATTTCAAGATGGCAATGGTTTGGTCAATGATACTGATGCAGAGAAGGACCAGGAGACCCCTGTGCAAAGTGTAGTTTCCCATGACAATGTCCCTGAAGGGTGTGGGGATGATGGTGTACCCCCTGAAATGTTACCAGAGAGTTCACAGGATTTGGGGCTTGAAAAGAACTGGGCACCTGGCCCAGCTGCAAAACTTAATGAGCAAATAGATAGAAGGCAGGAGATTAGTCAAAACAGGCAGACCGAACAGTGGCTTCGGCGGTCTGCCAGAATCCAACAGAAAAAGATGAAGGAATCTCAATTAAAGTGAAACCAATTTCTGAGTGCTTGGGATAGTTTAACAAGGGGATAAAAGTTTCAAGTATGGGAAATATAGTCAGATGAAGCATTGTTTGGAATCAAGTGTAGTTCTCATCCTTGTTTTATGGAAGCCTTGCTTGGAAGATTCTTGTCTAAGTATTTCTTGTGTCATGGTTTGGATTCTTGGGTTGTATGAATACGTATCCATGCCTTGGATTAATGTTTCCTGGTTTTCTGAATTATATTAGAGAAGGGTGGACTTTGTTTTTATGGACTTTGCTGAACTTTAACCTGGACTATTTTTGCTCCGCTTATCTTCTTACCTAATTGGATTTTCCTATTTCTTTTTAGTGCTTTTTACTTGCTGCTTTTTAATTGTTGTTGTTGTTGTTGTTCATTCGTTCAGTCGTCTCCGACTCTTCGTGACCTCATGGACCAGCCTACGCCAGAGCTCCCTGTCGGCCGTTACCACCCCCAGCTCCCTCAAGGTCAGTCCAGTCACTTCAAGGATGCCATCCATCCATCTTGCCCTTGGTCGGCCCCTCTTCCTTTTGCCTTCCACTTTCCCCAGCATAATTGTCTTCTCTAGGCTTTCCTGTCTCCTCATGATGTGGCCAAAGTACTTCAACTTTGTCTCTAGTATCTTTCCCTCCAGTGAGCAGTCGGGCTTTATTTCCTGGAGGATGGACTGGTTGGATCTTCTCGCAGTCCAAGGCACTCTCAGCACTTTCCTCCAACACCACAGCTCAAAAGCATCGATCTTCCTTCGCTCAGCCTTCCCTAAGGTCCAGCTCTCACATCCGTAGGTTACTACAGGGAACGGTGTGGTGTTTACAGTCAGAGGGCTTTTTCTGTTCTGGAGTGCAACAAAAGGTCTCAGTCTGTGAGAGAAGGCCTCACAGTGTGAGGTAGGCCTTAGTCTATGAGAGAAGCCTCTGTGTGAGATAGGCTTTAATCTGTGAGAAGGTCTGGTGTGAGAAGCTCTGGTGTAAGAAGACCCCAGTGTGTGAAGGCTGCTGTGTGTAAAGCTACTGTGTGAAGCTCCTGTGTAAGTTTGGTGTGAGAGGAGGCTCTGTGAGAGTGAAGCTGTTTGTCTGCATAAGAGGCCCAGCGTTGAAGCAAAGAAGGAAGTATGAAGAACTTTATTTGTATTATAGAAACCTTGTTCTTGTAAACAGTGCAACCATATCATTTTACTACAAAGAAAAGCCTCCTATGGAAGAGATAACATTGGTCTGGGTGTTTTTTGTTCTTTCTATCACTTTTGGCTATTGAGGTATCAGTGGGTTAGTTTATCTATATAAATAAAGATGTAATGTTTGTTTGTGGGATTAACATAATTCAAAAACCATTTGACACCAAATTTGGACACAATATACCTATCAGGCCAATGAGTGACCATAACGCATAAAAACACTGAAAAACACAGCAGAAGAGCCTTAAAATGCCAAAAAAAAAAAAAAACCTCACATTACAATGCATGCACAAAACCACATATATATACACAAACACATGTATATATACATATACACAAATATATACACACACATATACACATACAAAGCACATACACACAGACTGTGGCAGGGGATGGCTGGTCTATATAAATAAAAATGTAATGTTCATTTGTGGGATTAACATAACCCAAAAACCACTGGATAAATTGACACCAAATTTGGGTACAATACATGTATCAGGCCAACAAGTGACCATCACTCATAAAAACACTGAAAAACACAGCAGAAGAGACTAAAGAAAGCCAAAAAACAAAAAAAAATACATTACAACGCATGTGCAAAACCACACACACATATATACACGCAGACAGACATATACACAAATATATATACACACAAAACACATATACACAGACTGGGCCACAGCAATGCGCGGCAGGGGACGGCTAGTCAACAGATAAAATACAAACATTTCCCCAGTCCTACCCCGACTTTTTAGAAAACTAACATTTTGAATCTTTTACCCCCTAAAACCAAACCAAGGAGCCAATTTTTGACATATATATTGAAACAGCTTAATGACAAACTCTCTTACCGGCTGTTGGGACAGACCACGGCAAGTCGATAGCTCCCAGTTCCTCGAGTTCTGCATCAGATTCGACAAGAGCGGCTGAAAAAACCCGAACGAGGGAATAGTTTTTGGCCTCCGCAAGTTCCTGTCTGGCATTGAATATCTAGGAAACGGGACAAGATGCCACTCAGATCAAAACTAGACTAAACTGGGGTTCACTTCAATGAGAGTTTAGTTCACAAATGCACAAAATAGTAATTGTGGTTTGAAACAAATCCTAGTTTCTTAAAACCAGTAATGAAATAACACATATCTTTAGGATGCATTTTACCTGCCAATTCCTAGTTTATATATAACAAGTAGCAAGAAATTGTAAGAGGTTTACTAAAACAAGATTGCTTTCTATTTGATTGGAAAGCTTTTTCTTCTATACATATTGAATGAGATGATAATGTGTGCGCCATGTAATTTATGAATCTGGACGTTAGTTTCTATAGGGAAATATATGGCTAGGTTAAGTAAAATAAATGCTTACACTTGGTATTCAGGTAAAACACAAACTTGTCAATAGCTAAAGGTAAAGGTTTCCCCTTGACATTTAGTTGTGTCCGACTCTGGGGGCTGGTGCTTATCTCCATTTCTAGGCTGACAAACCGGAATTGTCATTAGATGCCTCCAAGGTCATGTGGCCAGCATGACAGCATGGAGCACCATTACCGTCCTGCCAAAGCAGTACCTACTGACACACATTTGCATGCTTTTGAACTACTAGATCGGCAGAAGTTGGAGCTAACAGTGAGAGCTCACCCCACTCCCCAGATTCAAACCACCAACCTTTCAGTCAGCAAGTTCAGCAGCTCAGCTGTTTAACCTGTTATGCTACTAGGGGGTCAATAGCTACTTCTTCATTATTGATGTCTTAACACATACCTGTTGATAGACTATACAAGCTAGCTGGCATTCCCCCCTCCCCCTGATGTGCAATGGGAAATTGCTGCTAATTGCAAAAGAAATAAGGTTGAACACTACGAAAGCCAACCACTGCATGGATATTAGCCTCCTCCCAGTAGACTTAAATCAAGGAAAAGCTTCATGAGAACCACCACTCCTCTAAATGTTCCACCAGCAACAGCAAGACTATCTATCTGGGCAGCTAAATCAAGAAATCCCAAATGGAAGCCACTCCCCCACCCCCTCATGAGGCTCTTCTTCCAGGGGCAAACCAAGAATGGGCAACCTGGAAGCCCCTGAACAGACTTAGAAATGGTGTTGGTGGATCAAAAGACAACCTGGCAAAATGGCACTACCTAGAAGAACCTGGCAAAATGGCACTACCCGCCACCTTGTGCGACTGTGGAGCAGAACAAACAATTCAGTCAGTCAGTGATTTATTACGGTCTTTGACCAGCACAGTACAGAATGGGGCATCGGTGCCCAAGGAAGGGAATCGCAGTTCCCAAGTAGATCAGGTATAAAAACAGATTAAAAGCAGATTAAAAGCAGATTAAAAACACGTTATATAAGAGACAAATTAAAAAGATAAAACAGACTAAACTTACAGTTTAAAGTGCATGTATGAATCTAAAATAGGGGGTGGCTAATAACAAATATTAGACGACTGGGAAGCTATAAAAGGGATGAGAGGGGAGCATTTACAGCATTTCAGTTATTACAAATCATTCTAACTATATTCCTGGCAGGAAGTTGCCTGGTGGAGTCTGTCATCAGCTGTCTAATGTTAATTGCTGCTGCACAGAACTTGGCAACACTGTAGGTTGTCGCAGAGCAAGAGTCCGAGAGCAACAGGGAGGTGTAATATCTTTCAGTGCGCCCTGGATGTTTTAAAAGCCATGGAGCGATGAAATTAGCTCTAATGTCTCTATAGAACACACATTGGAGGAGCACATGTTCAGTTGTTTCGATGTAGCCAGACTCACACGGGCATAGTCTCTCCTGGGCAGGGGTCTTCCGGTACCTCCCCTCCAGTACTGCCGATGGAAGGGCATGGCATCTTGCCAAAGTGAAAGCTCTTCGGTGTTTAGGCACCTCCAGGTTTGCTAAGTAAGGCATGGGAGCGATGAGATATCTGCTATCTTCGCTAATGGTGAATGCTGGAGAGCAGGCTAAGTCTGATTGTCGCTCTATATCCAGGATCCGTTGTCTAATAAGATCCTTGGCTTGGTCCCATCCCATACCTAGCAGTTGTCCTTGAGAGAAGCCTAGAGTTGCGATTTTGATTGCCACTACCTTATTCCATGTAGACTGAAATTCATCTCTCAGAGTTAACGGAGCAAGGCCACATGTTGAGAAAGACAGATGCAGCCAATAATTGAGGGTGGCTGTCCACACTCTCGCCTCCACTCTCACAAGGCCTGTCTCTAATCGCAGGGTGGCGTTTGAGACACATCTGGGGACCTGCATCGCCGATCTTAGAAATTTTGATTGTACTTGCTCCAGAGGGGCATAGTTTGTGAAGGGACCAAGTTGGGCTCCATACATCATTTGTGCTATGGATTTTGCCTCAAAGAGCTTAAGTGCAGCTGGTATGTAGTGGCCTCCTCCCGTTTTGAGGAACTTTAGGATAGCATATGAGCTCTTTTGTGCTGCCTCTGCTACGTAATCCACATGTACTTTCTTGTTTCCAGTGCAGTGATAGAATACTCCCAGGTATTTAAAGCTGGAGACCTGTTCAATATTGTGTCCATCTAGTCTCCAGGTATGATGCTTGGGTCGTTTCGCAAACACCATAATTTTGGTTTTTTTATAATTAAGATGAAGCTGTTCTTCATTACAGTATTTTGTTAAGGCTCTCAAGGCTCTTTTCAGGCCTACTTGAGTTCTGGATAGTATCACTGCATCGTCTGCATAAAGCAGGGTAGACACGTGTCTTCCTGCCAGTTTTGGTGGGTGGTAGTCCAAGTTGTAAAGGTGTTCCACCATGGAGTTGATATAAAAGTTAAATAGAAGTGGAGCCAAAGTACATCCCTGCTTGACACCTTTCTCAGTTTCAACGGCCCTAGTGAGATGACCTTGAGGGGTACATCTTATTTTCAATATGGTCCCTTCATGTAGTATGCGAATTAATTGCAATAGTCGTCTATCTATGGAGGTGGACCCAAGTTTTTCCCATAATTTGATACGAGAGATAGAGTCAAAAGCTGCTCTAAAGTCTATGAATGCAGCATAGAGGGAAGATGTTCTCTGGGAGGTATATTTTTCTATAAGATGCTGTAAAACTATGCACTGGTCAATGGTGGACCGACCTTCCCTGAAGCCAGCTTGCTCCTCCGCAAGTATGTTTTCTTGTTCCATCCAGTCCAACAATTTCCAATACAGATGCCTTGTGTATATTTTACTAATGGTATTAAGGAGGCTAATGGGCCTGTAGTTTGCTGGATCGTCCTGCCTCCCTTTTCTTTTGTATATTGGTACAATAATTGCCAACCCCCAATCCTTAGGAATTTGGCCATATTTATCTATACAGGTAAATAAAGATGCTAGGATAGGGGCCCAGAAATCCAAATTATTCTTGATGACCTCGGGCGGGATCGCATCCTCTCCTGGTGCCTTTCCCGCTTTTAGTTGAGCTACTAGTCTCTATTTCTACGGTGGTCATGGGTGGCCAGGTAGGGAGGTTTTCCATTGATGTATTGGAACAAGAGTTTGTACTCGCATTGTCTGAATAGGTGTCCCTGTATAGCTCTTGGAAATATACTTCCCAGCTTACTGGCAGGATTTGGGAGTCAACTGCAGTTCGGTCCCAGCTTCGTATGTTAGATGTAATGCGCCAGAAGGTGGTTGTGTCCTTTGCCTTAACAGCTTTTATGAGCCAATCCCAATTGTTTTTCATAGCCTCTCTCTTCTTACAGGTTAGTAGTTGTTTGTATTGTCTCTTTTGCAGCAGAAGGTCTTGTGCAGCAGTTGGGATAGGATTGAGTTTACAACTCATAAATAGTGGAGAGGGCTTTTTTAGCAGAGAGACATTCCTTATCAAACCATGTTTGTGATTGTTGATATGGTTGCTGAAGTACCTGTGTCCCCTCTGTATTATTGCCCTGGCGTAACTGACTTTGGAGCTCTTGGACAATGTTTCTGTAGGTTTCCATGAGTACATTGGGAGTTTGTGCTAAGATCAGAGAAGTGCGGAGGCTCGTAAGCCGCTCTTTCGCCAGCAGGTCTGTTATTCTTTGATTCATGTGTGGGGACCACTTGGCTCACTTATAGGATCCTTCTGTAGGCTGTATCGAAGATTTATAGGATTCCGTTAAATGGATTTCCTGGGGGGAAAGATGTAGTTGAAGCAGAACTGGAAAATGATCACTCTCAGGTTTAGACATAACTTTTAGAGTTTTAGCATAGGGGATAAAATCCCTAGAAATTGCTATATAGTCAATAGTGCTAGTTTTTTCACCTGAGAGGAAGGTGAATTCACCTGGATAATCTCCTTTTAGCGCCCCATTTAGGATGTGAAGATTTAGCCTATATGTTGTTCTGGCTAAGCATAGGCCTGCAAAATTCGATTTCTGGTCTTTGGACCAGCGGGGAAGAAGGGGTTCTTCATCCTCACAGGATGGTGGTGGGCAGTTCTGCTGCTTATAGAGAGAGAGGTCATCTGGGCCCATCCTTGCATTAAGATCGCCTCCCAGCACTATAGATGTATCAGGATTCTGCATTATAAGGTCCTCAACGTAGGATTCTAGCTCCATCCATACAGCTTTAACTTGGGCTTTTTTCCTCAAAGGGGGTATGTAGGCATTTATTATCAGCACTTTATGGTTGATAAGTTGGATTAAGATGGCCATGGTGCTTGACATTAGCGGTGGTAAAGATGTTACCTTTATCCATAGCTTGTTGGAAATTAGGATTGTTAAACCACCTTTGGCTCTCCCATATCTAGTTGGGGGTTCTGCCTTTGTTGAGTAGGCTTGGAATCCATTACTTGATAT